TTATGTGTGTGTGTGTGTGTGTTTTCAATATCCGTTTAGGCAAGTAAATGGCGGTTTTGNATACTGTGATCATACTTTGATTGCTACTAACTTGCCTGATATGTGTGTGTGTGTTTTCAATATCCGTTTAGGCAAGTAAATGGCGGTTTTGGTGGTGGCGGCGGGGCCTGCTCTCACGGCGGAGCCGGTGGCGGCTTCCACGGAGGTAACATCAACAAAGTGTCGGAAGCCGGAGATGGTGGCACCTCTTACGCTGACTTTGAGCTCTCTCACCTGCAGCTGTACAGTGACTTTGACTTTGAGCCCTCTCTGGCCCTCACTGGCCGTAGTGGAGGTCACAGGGCAAGTGCCGGTTTGGTGGTCATTGTTCCCCAGATTGACGGGTGCTGCAACGGTGGTCGATATCCTTGTCTGGTCACGGGTCAGTCACTGAACGGCAGTTTAATGAGGCAGTGTGTATGCGGGGACAACAAGTTCATGGAAGACTTGTGTGTTTGTAAGTGATGAAAGTTTTGTTGTATTTTACACCAGTTAACATCACATATTACTAGACGAGAGGCCCTTTTACCTGACTATTCTTTGGATCACGTTGTGCTTTATGGTGCTCATGTTCATCGTCATCTTTGTCACCTACATATGTAAGTTTCACGTTTGGCCCTCACTAGTCAATCTTCTGAGTCTAATCATCTATTTACCAGACATTCAAAAACGCAAACTTCGTCACAAAATCTCTCGCAACGAGTCAAATGATCTTCATTTGCTGTCCAACAGTTCATCACTGAGCGCCGCCGACCTTCAGCTCAGTCGCCTTCGCCACAACATCCTCACTGAATACAACCCCAATTATGAGTTTGGAGGCAGCACTTGCACACTTCAAGATCTTCGTGAGATCTCTCGAGAAAAGTTGACTCTGGTGAAGGCACTGGGCAACGGAGCATTCGGCGAAGTGTACCAGGGATGTCTGCACAATCATCCGGGCGAAGTAACCGATGAACTGCCAGTGGCGATCAAGACACTGCCAGAGTACAACACCAGCAAACAGGCGGAAATGGACTTTGTCATGGAGGCGCTAATCATGTCCAAGTTTAAGCATCGCAACATTGTCCGCTTCATTGGCATATGCTTTGAGAGAATGCCACGCTTCATTGTCCTTGAGTTACTCCCTGGTGGTGATCTCAAGTCCTTTCTACGCGAGAATCGAGCCACTATTGACTCTCCAACGACTCTGGTGATGGGTGATCTGCTAGTAATGGCACTTGGTAAGTACGCAACAACAAACAACACTTGCAATTTTTTAAAAACTTTTATATTTAACTAACTATGCACAGACATTGCCTGCGGTTGTTTGTATCTTGAAGAGCACCACTTTATTCATCGAGACATTGCCGCTCGTAACTGCTTGCTCACTTCTAAAGTTAAGATGCCCTCAAGTCTCAATAGCAGCTACACTCCAAGTGGTACTTTAGACATAAACCAATTCAAGAATGGCTTCAACAACAGCGGTCTTATAGCAAAGATTGCCGACTTTGGTATGGCGAGGTAAGGACCATTGGAACAGAGCCGCTCTCACTCAGCAAACACTAACACTACTTAACACACACAGAGACATTTACCGAGCTGATTACTACAGAAAGGGAGGAAAAGCGATGTTGCCTGTCAAGTGGATGCCACCGGAAGCCTTTCTCGACGGAGTGTTTACTTCAAAAACTGATAGTAAGTAGAAAAAGATGTTGAAGCAGCCACTGACCTGTACGCCCTGTTTCCTCCCTGTCAGTTTGGAGCTTTGGGGTTCTCTTGTGGGAAGTTATGTCAATGGGATACATGGTAAGTGATACTTGTCAAAGAATGCTGTTTTCTTTTTTTTCTAGTTACACATTTCATTCTACTAACTAAATACATTTTTCGACCACTTGATTAGCCTTACCCGGGTCGCGGCAACCAAGAGGTGATGCACCTGGTGACGAACAACCAACGTCTGGAGCCACCAAACAGCAGTACGCCGCCGCAAGTATACGCCATCATGACACAGTGCTGGAATGGAACACCTGAGTTCAGGCCCAGTTTCGGCACTATCATCGAGCGCCTCGGCTACTGCCTGCAAGACCCTGACGTGATCAATGTTCCGCTGCCGATCTTTCACCGGTCGGCATCGATGGAGAAAGACGTTAGTTGCACGACAAACGATAGACGAGTAACTCTGATCGGCACTGGAGGGGGAGATTAAGCCACTGATATGCTACTTTCACTTCTCTCTCATGATGACAGATGACGGCGGCAATGCGACCACCACAGGACAGCACCGACTACCTCATGCCCAACAATCCAGGCTCACAGACCAACTCCAACTACAGCATGGCCACGGAGAAGACCGAGCTGCTCTCACAGGACACCTGCTCCACTCTGAGCTGCGTACCTGATGATAAACTGCTGGAGATAGATGACCACCACCAGCTGCAGCATCCGAACAATGCAGTCAAACTGTGGAACGACGAGGCAGTCATTGCTCAGCAAACGGGAATGATGCAGCCTGCAGGGCCCGGAACGTCGTACAATGCTGCCGTCAACCTGGGCAGTGCCTACCCTTCTATAAAGGTGCCTTTCACCACCGGCGTTGTCCTTAATCCGATGAACCTATCGTACCAACAGCAGCAACAGCAGCAGCCTTGTGTGCGGTACGTCAATGTCTCGGCGTTCGGTGTGACACCGGCGGCGCAAGCGCCAGTCAATCACACTCAGCAAGTCAACTCCGAGCAGCCACCGTCAGCTGAGGCTCCTCCGGCGCCGATCAACTGCTAATGTCCTGACTAATATAATCTTTATCATCATCAATAAAGCTCATCATCATAATCGCCATCTCCTCGATCATGACCTTTCACTGGCCAATATAATAGGTCAATCATTAGTAAGCTGCCTCTCTCAATCACGTTCAGTGAGATCAATGGTTGTAGTGGCAGTGGTGCAACTGATCCGAACGGGTTACTGTCAGTGTTCTGCTTGCTGGCGATCATTGAGCAGAGCAGAGTGATCTCACCTCAATGGCGCAATTATCCGTATCATTAGCGCTGAGGCATTAAACGAACCCACTAGCGCGTAAGACCTTGAAAGAACACTTCCGCGTCTGTTCTACTCTAAAAAATGGTTTGTTTTTAAAGTTTTTTTTGAAAAAAACTTTACAAATAAATGAAAAATATTTTATTTTATTTATAATTAATCAATCAATAAGTTAGAAAACTTCTTTTGAGTTATTTGTTAGAGTGTCATCACAACAAGTGGTGTCATTGCAACCAAGAGAAGAAGGTCATTAACACGGGGTAGCCTGACTAACGGTGCATTGCTCTGAGTGGAGTGCACTGTGATCATCGTCCCCTCATTGAGGTGAGCTAACGGCCAGTGAGATAAAAGATAGCTTCTCTCAACAAAAAGCAAACTATTGTTGTTGTTGCTGCAACGGCTAGTATTATTGCACAAGTGGATTCAACTCTTTTAGTCTTTCTTTACCATTTTGCCAATATCCTCATTGTACGGTGCTCGTGCGGGAGAGAGAAAGAAAGAGAGGCCACGTGAAGTCTGGTGCCATCAAACTCGAGGTCCAGTAATCACTGTAAACAGCTGGGAAAGAGGAAGAACCTGTCGCGGTGCGTGACCGAAAAGTCGCCAAGTGACGACAATAGCCAATAGTCAGAGAAACGGGCAACGTAAGTAAGGTGGTGGTGGTGGTGGTGCTGTAAGTGGTGCACCGTGCGCACTGGAGGACAATGGCACAAAGTGCTCCCTCTCACATAGCTCCTCGCATTGTTTTGTTCCGGTTTAGCTTGTTCCTTAGTGAGCCTTCGCCTTTGCCTTTGCCTCCTCTCAACCTGTTACGGCAACTCTTACTGCTCTCGATCTGTGATCTTGTGGCACACAGCTGTCGGTCTGTCCTCGCTGATCACTTGGCCACTGGTAGCAGTTGCAGCGCTGATGATGATGATGATGGCGATGATGCCGCCGTACCACCAGCACGACCATCAGTAACAACAGCAGCAACAACAGGTGGCTATTCAATTTGTTCGCTCCTTCCAGCAAGTGCTGCCTCCACTTGCATTCGGACATTGCTACTGAAGAGTGCGGCCACATCGTCTTCTCTGATTTCGTCTCTCAGTGACACCGTTCATCTGTTCCTCTGCAGCCTCTCTTAGCATCATCTCAAACTTGGTTTGCATCACCGTCTTATCTTCGTCCTCTGCCCCTTCTTGCCGCTATCAGTGCTGTGTTTGCTTTCCTCCAACTGCTATAATTTGCTATATTCTCCGCAGAGCTTGTCGTCGAACAATCGCCCACCAATCGACCACTGTGACAGACAACAGGACGACACACGGCAGTAGTGGAAAAGAGCCGTTCGCCTTTTCTGCCTTCATCTTTTTTTATTACCAGCAGTACTACTCTCGATTCGAAAGAAATTGCAATTGGCGGTGGCAGTTTGATTGCTTGCCGTTCAACAAGCAAACACATCGGCGACGACAACCACAACGTTGGCAGCGACATCAACGCTAGCAACAATTTTGGAATCAGTTCAAAAGGCAAGTTCGTCTCGAATTTGAAATTGACTACACAACCTGCTGTGACGCCTTCTCTCACGCTTTTACGGTGCTTTTCAAATTCATTGCCACAACATAAAAATAACTCTGCACTTTTTCTGCTAATTCTGAACTCAGTGTCTGTACAACGTGTGTATGTGTGTGCATGTGAATTTCTTTTTTGGCCTGCATAGAGCTTTGTCGGCGTCGTTAACAACAGCAGCAGCGTTAGCAACAGTTTATTTTTTAGTTCAAGTTATTAAATATCTTGCTAAATCGATAAAAACAATGGCTCACTAGTCTGTCAGCCAAAGCTTTTGTTTCACTTTCTGCATTCTGTGTTTTCATATTGTCTTTTCTTATTTATTCATCTCTGCTAGATCTTCTATTTCCGGAGCATCAGTAAACTACTTTTACGAGTCTTGTTTTTATTGAATCTGGACCATGTCAGCCAAAACGTCCAACACGAAACCAGTGCACGTCAATTTTAAAACAAATGGCTCGGAGACCACAGATCGTAAAAAGTTCTTGACAGCAAAATACGGTACGCACCAGATGAACCTCATTAAAAAACGTCTCAAGGTGGAACTTTGGATGCACGACCAACTGCAAGCACTCTTTCAGGTGGTAAGTGTGCCTGCGTGTGTTTGTGTGGTCACTGCAAAGGAGGGCAATGGCACTTGATTGAAGAGTGATGATAGTGCCACGCCTGAGCACTGCTGACAAATTAGCATACCAAATGTTATATCTTGTTATGCCTTCTCCCCTCCCTCCTCCCACTATAACAAACACAGGATGAGGACTTTTTCGATGAAGTGGACATTGATCTCGATGAGTTGCTTGATCTCGATCAGCGACAAAGCAGAATAGAATGGCTAAGGGTAAGTGTGTGTGTGTGTCTGAGCGCTTGTGTACCAAATGAGCAAGCAATCTGTTTTCAGTAGTTCACGTTTAACATAAATTTTTGGAAAAAATGGTATTTTAACCAAATTTGATATAACTAGAAAAAAAATTTAAAAAAAATGAGTTGAAATAACCATTTTGACCTGCTATGTAGAACTTATTTACAAAGCAATTGAACTTGGGTTTTGCAACATTTTTAAATGGTTTCTATCTTTCAGAAAAAGCTCACCCACGCAAAGCAGCCACAAGCAGCCGTCGACACCTTCATTGTGGAGCTGTTAGAGCAGGCAAACACACTGTAGATCAGGGCATCATCTGGCTAGTGTGATTGGCTCATCCTGTACATACTTTCTTCAGTGCCCACCCTTCCAGCAGCCTCCCCAGAAGAAAACCACTTCTGGTCAACCGCGCTCAAGGGCGACTTTTTCCCTGCTCTCGACTGTGCCACACATCACTGGATTGAGTGCATTGAGTGTTTGCTAGAGGGTCACCTCGGTAAACGAACCATCTCTTTCAATCTTTCTATCCCACCTTTGTCTACTCTATTTNAATACTTTCTTCAGTGCCCACCCTTCCAGCAGCCTTCCCAGAAGAAAACCACTTCTGGTCAACCGCGCTCAAGGGCAACTTTTTTCCTGCTCTCGACTGTGCCACACATCACTGGATTGAGTGCATTGAGTGTT